CGCTTTCTGGAAAAGTAATTCGTGGTGTGGAACAGAACCGACCTTAGTTTGACTTACAATTGGCTCAACCTTGAACCTTATAATGGGAGTGCATCAACCTGTCTGAAATGAGCCGCGAACTTGAAAGGTCAGAGGAAATTTCGCAAAAATTACTCATTTTCATGTACCGATGTACCACAAAATGGAATTTGATTTTGTAAAACCTACATTTTTGCTCTAAAACCGAGGAATCATTAATATGAAGGCTGTCTACAAGATGAGGCTTACCCGATCGAGGTCTCAAACGTGCTGGGTCAGTTGCAATACCCTTCTACGAGTATTCATCGATGCTATGATCAACAAAGGGTAACCTTTCGAGCAGAAACCATGTAAAAATGAATTTCAGGTGAAAACCCTGATTCTCACGAGAATTCTCACCTTTTAAATTCCTAAGACCGAATGCTTTCGTTTCACATGGAGTAAAACTGGGACCACATGGGAATTTTATGCCTGTGGCTGAGGTGGCCGTCATCAAAAGAAGTACGAGCAGACGCATTCTAAAGTAGAAATTCGAATTTCTGAGAACATTTGCCAAGGATATTCACGCGTCCCTCTTAAGCGAAGACAAGAGCAATGGTTGAGGGGGCTGATACGATAGTTGGCAAATCGGGTCCAGAACCGATAAGCTATTCGTTCTCGGCTGTCAGTGTCAGTGATCCTATAATCTCCTAAAGGGATACATAACGAGTTCATGAAGATGCAGGGTAAGCCACATGCCTGTGAAGGTCTTAAGTCAGTAAGGTTTAACAGTATGCCCATTCCCTAGCACAAATGCAAAATAAGTACGAAGAGATAATGGTGAGGGCAGTGGGCCTATACTCTAGCTTAGTGGAAAAGGAAATGGTCCGAAGCAAGAACAACTTAAAGGTCATGAAGCTGATCAAAGGTACGGTAAGATTACGGTGCTATATTCAGGTGAAGACTTTTAACTTGGTCAAAACTGAAGGTGATGGGTGCGAGAAGCATATAGATGGACATAAAAGCTGATGACTATGAGATTACGCCTGATAACATTATGCGGGAGCGAAACGGGTCTGCTGCGCGACTCGTCCCCTTACGTGTTTCGAAAGCCACCGCCCTTGTAATAGCCGGCTTATCCTGGCAGTCTCGGGACCTCTCTCTAATGAAAACTATGTATATCGATCGGTTACTCTTGCACGGCATTACTTCTCATACAGCCAGTGACTGCATAGTACTCCATTTGCTGAGGTTGAATTCTACTATTCTTCAGGGAGGACAGGTTTTGCGAGAGCAACACTGGCGATCGAGATAAATAGCGGCTGTGACGTGACGTAGGGACCAGAAAGACGTGTTCTCACTACATGGACATCGGTTGGGTGGCGAGATGTACGGTGATTTATTTAGCGATATTTTCGTCATCTCCGAATCAACGCCGATTATCTGTTGAAATCCGTTTGAGATCAAAACCCAAAAGGTGCTACGTTTGTGAATGAACTCTGCCATCCAAAGGCCGTCTGCCAGAAGCCGTCTCACGTTAAATAAAGTTTAGCAATTTTCCATAACAACTGGGTCTTTTCTTATGAAACGCCATCATCGTTGGAGCGGATGACAACGAACTACCTTACTATGAGGATGGAGCTTGACACGTAAGTGGCAATTTTAAGTTAGAAATTCGTTTCACAATCAGAAGAATCCAATAGAACTTTTTTCTGCTGCCTTTCCCTCACAGGAAACTCGAAGACGTGAACTCAAACCTATTTTTCCCACCCGATTCAGTCTTGGGAGAATCTCTTGAGCGAATACGTCTCCTGCGTTCCATACATGGAAAGCCACTGCAACAGTCCAGTTTTTAAGGAATATCAGGATCACACTGTCTTAGAAAGTGAGGCGTTCACGAGTAAACAAATCTGTAAACAAAACAAAAAAATCACAGACAATGCATTTCCTTTACTTCTATTCTCCTTACATTTTCGACAATCAGAGTCGTTTCACACCAAAATGACGATTTCGAGATACAACCTCATTGATAACTCCCTTCAATTTAGTATTTAGGTCAGGGAGCGAGCTAGTCTAATGCTCACCCTTCCTCTTCCATAGTATAATTTTACATTCAAGGTTCAGTTTCAGGTTGATGTCAGCTTCCATGGAAACTTTGAGCGAAAGACTCAGCTTCAGTTCGAGCCGCTCTAGTCGGGTAGTTCGAGTTCAAGAAGAAAATTGCTCGTCCTCTAGGCCCAGAGAACTATTGACTATTACACGGCTTCTGGGGTACCTATTTTTTCATGTGTTCTCAGGCACATATAATATAGAACTCATTCCAGGACTTCGAGAAAGGTGAATTTTTTGTTTCACCGATTGTCTCCAGAACTGAAAACGGGTGAGGCAGACACTTCCGTGATTCTTCGAGTTTTGCATCTACTTTTGCTTTATACAATGAGGTCTGTGCTAGTCTCCTTTCCATGATCACCGGAAATATAGCCTATTACTGGTGATGGTAGATTTTCTGTGAGCCCAGGCCTTGAATGATCCGAATTTCCTTGTCCGGGATGAGAGCTGTTTAGGGATTTGTCAGATATTTCTCGTTGTAAAATTACATTCCAATTTCAAATTTTTATTCCTCAGCATTCGTTTACATTGAGAATCCCTCACATTGTCAGCTGAGTTTTCCCAGTAGGAAAAATACAACAAATTCAAGAAGAAATCAAAATGATACAGCACAAAATGATAAAGAAAGTCTGAACCCTACACGTTCGTGTTTGACGAGTCGAAAACGATGGAAGCCCGCTTCCAAACCCGATGAACAGTCGTCTTTATTTAGAAAGTTCGTAACTTAAAAACTCAATAGGAAACTGCAATCAAACGAAGACAAAACTACAGGTTGAACCTTCAAAATGAAGTCAACTCTCATATAAGAGATCGATTTTTCCCGTTTAGCCGTACCATTTCATGGCACAGATCCAGTTGTGAACTGGAATCGCTGCCACGGCTGCGGCCAAGATTCCAATTGTGTCGGCGAAGGTGACCGTTGACAGTGCGAATTCACGAATCGTTGGATCTACCTGAAAGATAACTGCTTGTGACCGTTCTCGAACATATAGTCGTATTTGTTAGGGACATGTCAAGATTGGGAAGCACATACCATCTCGGTTGAGTCGCCATACATAACCTAGCCGCCTGTGCATTTCAGGTCAATGTTTCGCCCCTACTCTATCCGAACCAATAGCTCAACAACAATCCCAGAACTCAGATAGGATTGAAGCCAATGAAGAGTCAAAAACAGCATAGTAGAGAACAGTTTCCTTGATGCAACCCTCTCTCCCTCTCGCTCGAATCTCTTCCAAACTCAACTCTCACCTCCATCACATAACTCTCTGAATAACTTCGCCAGTAGTAGGGGTAGGGTAATGAAAAGTCTATGGATATCATCAAAGCACCATGCTAAACATCCCTCTACCTTCCCGTAACCACTCCTCCTTCCCTGATGAATAACTACACCTTCTACTACTTGATTAAACTACGAAACCCGTACATAGTATACCGTTCCCTTAAGTGGGGTTTTACCCCCAGGACCTTATAGAATTGTAAGAGGACCAAGATAATTCTATTTGAGCCCATATATGTAGACCACAGAAAAACAAAAAAAGCCACACAGCCAGCAACACCACCTACCTTTCTATGAATGTGATAGAACGTATTCGCGTAATTAGTTCCTCCCACAACACCGATGAAGAACATTATACCGCAGACGATACCGAAATAAGGTATAAAAGCGTATATAGCCGTGATGAATATCACGACGGTTGTTAGTGTCTGCAATTTTGAATTAAACTCTTTGGTCAGAAGTTTTATATAAGTGTAAAAAAAAATCGATGAGCGTACCTGAACAACAGCTAGAAGTGAAATGCAAATGAAATTCAAGTGAATAATATTAATTGAGGAACGTGAAAGGAACACACCAATATGATAGAACACCTGAATAAGGTTAGGATGAAAGGAACAAATCCTTCAGCGTCAGTCAATCCCTTTTTAGGATACGTGCTGCTTCGATTAAAAATCGTGATGACATTTGAGTACGTATGTAGCCTATACATTGAGTTGCGGTGACTCTACATGTAGAAGTCAGTGCTTTCATCATCCAAGACAAGTCTCTTACCGATTGAATGATCCCGGCGGAGTGGAAAGCTCAGTTTATCTGGGCCATTAGGCTTTTTTCACAAACTGGATATATAAATCAATCAATAGATACCTGGTACCAACGGTACTGTGATGAAGGTGTCGTGTGGAATCCATGAGCGCAATCGAACACCACAAGTTCGATCTGAAAGTACTTGGTCGATTTAAAGCTACTCAACGTGCTTGGTGTCCTAGAGATTCAAAAAACTTCGAGGAAGAAATTTGAAGAAAAAACCAGAAATGAAACCTTTTCGTAAACAAATTATGGGGAGAAGAATGGATCTAGGGTTTCAGGCTCATGAAGTGAATGATGTGGATGTGCTCAAAGGTTCCTCAGAGGAGTCATGAGAAAGCCCTTCCAAAATCCTACAAAGCAGAGGATATCCGTCCTCATGGAACAGCCAAGTTGATTTAGAAAGACAATGTTTGATTTTATCTGAGCATATCCCTGATCGAACGATGTAACCCATAACTCATGAATCGCACATGATCTTAGGTAAGCTAAACCTAGGGTTTTTCATCAAAATCTTACCCGCCATTACCAGTAACCTATGAGTTTGCCTTGCCCACTGAGAAAAGTGGGAATTTTTCAGAAAGCCCGATTCTCATCAAATGAATGGGGTGAGCTAACCCTTCAGCTAATCGAAGAGAGCTCGCACAGGCACAATTATGACTGAAGCGAGTATAAGGAGCACATTTGCATTGCCTCAGATATCCTTTACTGAGAGTTCTCTCTCATTCAAAGATTTTCTGTCGATTAGTGACCAGGCTACGTGGCGGGACCCCAATTGGCGAATAGAGGAGTAAATCGTGGACCAGAAGCCGCCGTTACCTGATGAAAGCTGGAGATGGACTCAGGGAATGAACTCCTTGTTCATGGTGTGTTGGGTCACCCCTGTTTGGTTTGTTTCCTTCACATCTTTTATCTAAGCTTATCGTCCGGTTTATTATAGCTCGGCTGGTTACTCTGATAGGTTCCCACCCTATTAGGTATTAGGATATTTACGAGATGAAATAACAAAATTTGTATCAAACAGATCAGTAGATATTACTTACCAAACCCTGCTTGACGAAGTACTGCATNTGATGAAAGCTGGAGATGGACTCAGGGAATGAACTCCTTGTTCATGGTGTGTTGGGTCACCCCTGTTTGGTTTGTTTCCTTCACATCTTTTCAGCCAAGACCTTGGGCTCGGATGCTTGGAAAGTATCAGGGAGGCGATTCGGGCTTCCTCCAAATCAAAGCTTATCGTCCGGTTTATTATAACTCGGCTGGTACTCTGATAGGTTCCCACCCGATTAGGTATTAGGATATTTAGGAGATGAAATAACAAAATTAGTATCAAACAGTTCAGCAGATATTACTTACCAAACCCTGCTTGACGAAGTACTGCATGAAGTATACTGTACCGAAGGGGATCATGTACTTTAGCAGACTCTGAAAATATGTTCCACATTTACTCTTTCTCTGTGTCTGCCACATAGGGCTTTAATTACTGTCTATACGTTAGAAAAATGGCTTCCGACAGTTTATAGCACAGCTCAGAAACCCTGGATTATCATCAAAGCTTTTACGTAACCAAAATAATTTCTTCATTCATTTGCGCTATAATCCTACTGTGCTGAAGCTTTTCATTGGTATTTTTACTAAGTATTAGATATTCGGATATTCGTATCTGAGTATAGTTGCTAAGCCTACAGAGTATCTGTATTTTTAGCTTTAGATATTTCAAAGACCGAAGAATTCGGTTGTGGTACCAGAACATAACCGTTCTATCTCCACTGTAACTCCATCAGTTTCTCATTTCTTTCAATATCTTTTTTCCAGAATTTTTACAATGATTGAACGAAGACGTTCCATTATTTTATTAGTTTCAGTAACGCTTCTATAAACTCATTTAGGAACTCACCTTGACCACTAGAAGCTGTTCAGTAAGTGGCCGATTCTGTGCTTCTACACTAACACTATCTTTAGCGGTTTTGTCAGTTGCAGTGGATTCTGAGTCGGCTCTTGTTAAATCACGGCTGAAATACTGTAAATGATGATAACCATAGAAAATTGAGGTGTTTTTGTTTTGTTTATTCAAGTAAATTAGTTTCTACCACAACACCGTTTATTTATTTTTATTTACTTATTCATTGGTGGAAAATATGAAGCAATATATTTTTAATTCCAATTATTGTGCATGTAAATGAGCAAATCTCCCCCCCCACCCCCCTCCCTTCTTCTA